TCAGTGTCTGAATTGATAGTACTTTTCATCTTTTATCTAGAGAAACATATATATTTTATGATAAATTTACAATAATAAATCTCGTTAGCTAACCAATACTTATTTAATTATTGAAACAGAGCACACAGTGCCAAATATCGAATGATTAATTCACAATAAGTCACCATTAAATGCAATGGTCAACGCTTCAATGTTGATGTGTATAACGAAAGCGCGAGCGAAAGCGTATGGAACCATGATAGCCGCGGGTATTGCGGGGAGAATAGGGGTACGAATGCGGCGAAACGCGTTCGTCCGTGGTACCTGCATTGCATTATGCTTTTCCCAATATCTTCCTTATTTATGCTTCGATTTTCAAAATCAAAGAACCATTCGCATCTTGAAACATAGGCGCATCGACATTATTTGAAGTATTTTTTTGATAAACGTTGTAGTTACTGAGATAATGCGAGGTATATGAAAAGCAATTTAACGAAAATTTACAAGTTTCGAGTTATAGCCGTTTGAAATATGATTTTCTCATATATCGTAATGTAATTGGTGAATTTCAAAATTTTCTATAATTTGTTCTACTTGTCACACGAAATCAAGATTCAACAGGGTGAAAGTTCTGAAACCCCTCAATATTTTCCACGAATAAAAAAAAAATCCATATTTTTTTATAAATTACCCCCTACCCCCCAAACGCACAGGACGATTTTTTGACGACAAGTGGATCCATGATCTGGAGATGGTAGGTAACAATTCTAGCCATGTCACAGCTTTTTACCTCCGATTTCCCACGGGGTGAACGATAGGATTCGATTGGCACTCTACTACTTTATCCCATATGGATATTGGTAAATTACAAACCATTCATCAAAATGTTTTTCGAATTCTAGCAGTCACATGATCGAAGTCGAAAAAACCAACTATTACAAATACAAATATGACAAAATCGGATGTTATTGAACCTCGTGTATACGAAACATTAAATAATTTTGAAAATATGAAGTTAGCTACTTCAAAATTCAAAGTGAAGCCATCAGTTCTTGAGATAATAATATTACGAAATAGAAAACAGCGCTCAGAAACTGATTCCGATCATTAACGGTAATATTGCTCTAGCGCAAACATTACCTCAGCTCGAGAAGTTAGCTGATGACACCGGTTTCAAAAAGTTAAAATTACATATGAATGATGATATATTTTCAAAGTGCACTATAAATGAACTGAAACAAAAAGGCCAAGAATTATTGATAAATTTAACAATTATATTAGCTAGGATACCCACACTAATTATTAATAAGAATGAAAAATTCAAATTAATTGAGAAATATAACAATGATCCCATTACAGGTGAACATTGTGGTCAAAAACGACTTTTCAAAAAGTTGAAGTCGTCATATAAATGGAAAAATATGGCACGAGACGTTGCAAATTATGTGAAACTGTAGCATCTGAATTTGCTATAAGATAATATTAGCTCATTATTTTGATGAAACTTATCAAATCACAGTAGAGTAGCTAAGATTTGTTTTCAGTTTTCTTTGGTGTAATAAACCTAGTCTTCAAATTCTCACCTTATGAATTTGAGAAGGAGCCATACTCACAGTGAACATTCAGTCTGACATATAGTAAATAATCCTTGAGTAGTAGAACATTTAATGAAACAACCAGATCATATCACACACAGTTTTGAATGAGATCTTTTAACATTATAGGGATTCCCTTTCGTGCGCTCCAAGCGATAAAAAAAAATCCAATAGTACAGTACTCATTTCTTCTGATATTCTATGTGCTAATAGGAAGTGATGATGTGAGCTGCAGGAGTCTTTGATTTTTGGCGTTCTGATCCTAAGGCTCTAGAATCGAAGAAAATATTTAATATTGTAATCCATTCAAAAGTAGACAGACAACTTACCGTTGATGTTTTCCAGGGCGATAAATCCTATTTCGCTGGAATATCTCAGGATTTATGATGATGTTGTTCATTCTGAATTGGTTTCAATTTGAATATAAATTTCTTCGTTTATTTTTGGGATATTTCAGGTTTATATTTTCTTATTAGTGTCATCAGGATGTCACTGTCACTGCTGTCATACTGCAGTCATTGTCATTTGTCTTCTGTGAAGGATTTGGAAATTATTCCTATGAAGACAGAAGAAGAAGAACAACTCTTCTTAATAATTGGGGCGTAAGCATTTCTTCGACCAATAGCATTCTTAGAATTCATATTTGGAAGTAAGGGAAGTAAGGGTTTTGACTAGTTAAGAACGAGGGTAAGAGAATTTCCGGCACGTAGCTACCTCACTTTTTCTCGGTTAGCCATGGTGGCATGCACTTGACCGGTAGATAAAGTGATTTTGATTTCCTCGGTGAAAACCGGGAAGCCGTTGCTTACCGTCAGTGGATGGAATCTCCGTCAGGAAGCCATTTGTAGGATTTGTTCCTGGAGACTGCCATGAAGTTTTAGAAGCCATGCAGCCTGGCCTGTTTCAATCCTTAGAAGCAAGATCTAATAATTTTCCAACCCTACCTCCCTTCACAGAAGGTAAGTCACAGCCATAGCAGATTCAGTCAGTGAAATCTTCGAAAATATATCCTGTTCGCCAGTTTTTTTTTCTGTTGTCTCCACGTGCTCTGTGTGCCCTCTCAGGAGGCTATATTCAGATTCTTTCATAGGGTGCTAGGGTGCAGCTTAGCTGTGCTTCAGACTCCTGGTAGCGACCGGCCCTCAGGAAACTCTACTCTACCCTTGTCAAGATCCCCCAGTGGATCTGAGTAATCCTGCAAGGTCTTCGGATCTTGGCCAGAGTCGACCATTGAGACACCAGATGGAGCCCAGTAGCAGCTGGTAGAGACTGACCCCTGGTTACACTGCATCCTGGAACTCTGCTGACCGTGGAGGTTCAGCATTCCTTGTTGTGTTGTCTTCACCTGCAGTGACCTATGCTGCACATCTACATGCATACCACTTGGGACCTTGGATAGGGGTGATCTGGACCATTGAGGAGGACCCTTGGACCACTATCAGGTTTTTTTGTTCCACCTTCAGTGTTTTACCTTTTTGACACATGTATACATTTTTTTTTCACATTTGAGACTGGTTGAGTAATCACTTTTTTTTTACGGTATTAATTCACAAACTGGTGAAGCTCTTGTGAAGCTCTCCCATAGTATACTAGGTGACTGCGGTTGCTGAACAGTTCATTGCGCTATCATTCCTTGATTAGTTATACATTCCGTTTTATAGTTGAAATAGGATTGTTACTATACTCATTTTCACTTATTCTAAAACTATGGTAATCGTCCTGGTATAGGTAAAAAAATTATGGTAGAATAACTATGCAATTTACTCAACCTCAAGTATTGAAATAATACAGTACTTAGTGATTATTTTTCATCATAAAACAGTAGGCCTCTTCATAGGTCCATATATAACCTTGTCTCTGGTGGTGTGAAATATAGGTCTTGAATTTTATTTTGGTTTTCATTCTTCCATATTTCCAGCCCAGCCTTCTAAGAAAATACACCTTGAACAACTTTCAGATTTTTGAAAAATAGATTATTTGGAAAGAAATTTGGTTTTCTCGATTATCCAAATTGTAGGATTTTTATAAATTGAGTGGCGTCCAAGAACTTGAATTTTCTTCACTATCTAGCCTATAATTCGAACTCACTTATCTGTTCTCCGAGTTCGACTTTTTAATACTTCCATTCTTTTAAATTAAAAGTTGGCCACAAAACAATGCGAAGATTGTCAATTAAATTAAATCATAATTAGAAAAATTTAGCCAATGGTAAAAACGCCAACACCGCAGAGTGCTTTTGATATTCTGTGTGTCAACACCATAGGACCTTTCCCTAAAACCTCTAATGATATTGTTTATGCTGTAACCATTCAGTGTGAGTTGACAAAATATCTAGTCGTTGCGTTAATACCCAATAAGGAAGCAAAAACTGTGGCTAAAACAATTTTTGAAAATTTTATACTCATCTACGGTTCTACGGAAGAAGTGAGAACTGATATGGGATCAGAATGTAAAAACCAAGTTTTCGAAAATATTGCGAATCTTTTGAAGATAAGTCACAAAATATCAACAGCTTTCCACAGTCAAAGTATTGGCGGTTGCGAACGAAACCATAGAGTTTTGAATGAATATTTGCAAATGTATGTCAACGAAACACATAGTGATTGGGAAGAATGGCTGAAATATTATACTTTTTGTTATAACACATATAACATATCATGATTATGCCCCCTTTGAACTTGTGTTTGCGAAGAAGGCTATCTTGCCAGGAAAATTGACAGGGTGTACTATTGACCCTCTCTATAGCATAGAATCTTATGATCAGGAAGTTCGGTACAGACTTCAAGTAGCTCACAAAAGGGCAGGGGAATACCTCGAAAGGGCCAAAAGTCAACGTGAAGATCGTTATGACGAAAAATCAGGACCTATTTCATTGAAACCTGGTGATCTCGTTGTGATCAATAATGAAAATCGTCACAAATTAGATCCATGGTATGATGGTCCATATTCAGTTATTTCTACTGATGGTCCTAATTGTGTTATAAAGAACAAAAAATGTAAATCAATGTCTGTGCACAAGAATCGTATCAAACATTATGATAACCTATATTTTATGTTTTTGTATATTATGGATAATCCATCGATATTTCATATTACTTGTTTGAAATTGAACAGTTGTTGTGGGTTAGAAATTATTGCATGCAGTTATTTAGTTTGATTATTTAGTAAGCAATTTCTTCATTTAAATATTGTTATTGGGTAGAATAACATCCTATATGCACACTTTTAATGGGTAGAATAATATTATTATGCAATTCAACTGTTGTCGTTCGAGGTATTAACATATATTTCGGAGGCTTGTACATTATGATACCCGAATAAACGGCGACAATATATACTGAGCGTATGATCTACACTTATCCCAATTCATGACATCACAGACCCTCTACTTTCTAATCGTACATGAGAAGTTAGTAGAAGTAACGATCAACTTAAATAAATATAAGGTACACTCTGATGTTTACTCACACAACACCAGTAAAAATAACAATCTGAAGCGTTCCACATTTTTCAAAGATAAGTCGAAATTCGATATTTTCTCAATGTATCTATATTTCTTTCCTTCAAACATTTCATCAAACAAAGTGTCACTGACAAGCTACTGGATTTTTCTTTTAGGCTCCCTGATGAAAAAATTTGTTGAAGGCAGTGACATTTTGGGGCCAATCATCTGATTTCTCTCACTACAAATATATTGTAATACGCATATTTTTATGTTATAGAAACGAGGAGAAAATCCCAGAAAATCAAGTAAAATGAATTAACCACCTCCTCGATTAACCTACAGACAGTATAAATTATTACATCTATAAACGTCCAAGTCGGACAAGTACTTTTGACGAAAGTGTGCTTCATCGAGGTCATCTTCTGTGAGTGTTGAACGCCAGACGACAATGCTGCGATTTCTGGCGTTCTACAGCTGCCTTGGAATCAATATTTTCCAAAAACTGACAGAGATAACCTCAATTAAGTATATATATTTGAGATCCGAAGAAATTGCTCTACCGATTAGGAAAATAAACTACAGGGTGTTCCATTTGAAAAATACCGGTTTATTTGCCCTTGCGTCGTCGTCTTCGTCGCCAGAGTCGTCCGTTTCGGAGTAGAGCCGCGCGTCGTTGCTTTTGGGCGGCTCGTTGAGCAACGCCACCGATCTGCACTATTCGGGATTTCATTCATTTATGCGTGTTTGGCGTTTATAGGCTCATTGGCTTATACTGTTTAATGATTTATGTATGATATCATGTTACTCTAAGGACAAAACTCACCTTCTTCAGCGACCCAAACTTCTTCAGCGACTCCGACTTCTCCTCCTTTTTATTATCGTCGTCTTCGTCGTCGGAGTCGTCCGTTTCGGAGTAGAGCCGCGCATCGCCGGTCTTCGACGGTTCGTTGAGCAACGTCGCCGATCTGATGAGGTCGATCCACGATTGCAGAGCGTCCGCATCGTCGGCGGAGAAGTAGAAGACGGTGCCGGTGTGGTACACCTTGAAGGCGTTCGACCTCGACTTCACCTTCGAATTAGACAGGTTATTGTATGACTTTCCACACATTTTATTAATTCAAGATAGGTACTCATTCAGGATATCATTCGCCTACAACCAAATTAAGTTTCATCCAATTGCATTATTACTATACTTTTTAGATCAGGGTCGATAATTTTTTGAACAAAAAAAAATTTAGAATGGAACCCTTTGAGAAAGGACGAGAATATAAAGAAGATGAAAGGGGAAATAAATTACGGGCGATCTGAAGTCGAGAAGTGGTAGGGGGTGAGTTTTCAAGGGTGAAAAACGGTTCATCTTGATTTCCAGCAAAACTACGAGCCCTATGGAAAAAAACTGAGAATAGCAAAGTTGTAGGTAATAAAGAGACCTACAACTTTTGTATCCACACTTTTCTCACATAATCTCGATTGAGAATTCCACAAAATAGCTCAAAATTGTACATAGTGATTAAAAATAAATTCGGATTCTAGTTTTTTCTTTTCTTTGCATTTTCTGAGAACATTTACCATAGTAATGTATATATTTTCTTACATTATCAGGAAGAAGAGATTTCAACGAACAAAGAACGCCTAGAGTTTTTTAAAAAGCTAATATTTTAACGTGAGAATTTTCGATTGAAAATTAGAGTGTTTTTTCGATATTAAGTCAATATAAAAAAAATTAATATTTCGAATCAAAAAAATTACAGTGTCTACAGGACATGAAAAGGTAAGTTTTGCCCAAATTTCGTGAAAATGAATTTTTTTGCCGAAAATAAATAAAAAACAAAAAACTTGATTATTTGAACTTTTCACATGAATTTTGAGGTTATGTGAAAAAAGTGTGATCACAAAAGTTGTAGGTCTCTTTATTACCTACAACTTTACTACTCAACTTTTTTCTATAGGGCTCGTAGTTTTGCTGGAAATCAAGATAAACCGTTTTTCACCCTTGAAAACTAACCCCCCACCACTTCTCGACCTCAGATCGCGTTCAATTTATTTTTCTTATCATCTTTGTTATATTCTCTTTCATTTTCAATGAGTTTCATCCAACTATGATTCTTCTTCACATTTTACCGTTTTAAAAGGCATCAGTAGTGGTCTATTTATGCACTAGGTATTAACATGCTTACAAGTATCTATTTATTTCATCAAAATCTACATATGTGAGGCAGATTCGCCAAAATCATTAAACCCGCTCCCTGATTTTTGTTCACTCTAGAGTCCGACCGCGTTAACTCTGGGACAGCACATGGTCACGTATGCATTGAATATGCATATGCGTGTAGTCACGTGATGTCCCAAAGTTCACGTGGTCAGAGTATCAAACATGATGATATTCATTTTGAAAGTGAAAATATATACCTCACTGGCAACAGCTACAGTAAGACCTGATAAGAAAACGAGGCTGGAAGCTTTAGGGCATTCTTTCGTCTTGAAGCCGTACAAGCAACTACCTAACAAGACGAACCACCTCTTTTCCCAGTGCACGTTTTGATTGTGCTTCCCTCGCAACCGCTGATATAAATATCCTTGGATGTCACCGGGACTCAGATCGCTGACAGCAACATTTCTTCGTTCTGAAAATAAAGCAATATAAAATCCCTACTAATATTATAAATGTCAATGTGAGTTTGTTTGTCGGGCTTTCACGCCAAAACTACTCAACCAATTATCATGAAATTTTGTATACATATTTTTAGATGTATTAGGAAGCAAATGGGATACTTTTTATTAAAGAAGAAGAATTTTCACGAGTAGAAATATGTATTGAGTAAAAAAATGTATTGATTAAAAAAATTTATTGATTAAAAAAAATGTATTTATATTATTGTTCGATACAAAATATCCAACAATAAGACATGGAACTCAATACGTCGGTACCAAGATATTAATTATCAGAATACGTCATATGGGACTGGTCTCAGATTATTCATCAGGAAGGGAACTACGGAAGCGCAAAATTCATCACTGCATGGGAGATACCCTTCAGATTTTTTGCCATTCAGTGACTTGACCACGAATGACAATATTGACATTGAAGTTTTAGTCTTCTGCGCAATCTAAATACACGATTCAATACTATCTGAATTGCTCGAACTAAAGAAAAGGCGCAACAAATAACTCATTTCTGTTGTAGTGAAATACATGTTAACTTTAGTTGCAGTAAATTATTTCAATAAAGCATGTTTTCATTGTATGTAGTAGTTTTCAAATACTGAATCCCATTGGGCGAAGCCGCAGGTAGAAGCTAGTAATTCCATGAATGTATCTACCTGAAAAGGAAATAACGAACAATCAATATAAGATATGTATGTGGTGTAAATCTGACTAGTGTGTACAACCTTATGGCTGGTGGGCCCACTCTCCAATTCGCGGTCGCCAAGGTCATTAGATGACGTTGCGATGACATTGAAAAGAACGGGAAAACATCCAAAGTCCTGGCATAGATTGAAAGTTCATGTTTTCCCGTAGTTTTTAATTTTATCGCAACGTCATCTACTGATCTTGGCAACCGTGAATAGACCATTTTACGCTGAGCGCTGCTTTTGTCATATTGAATATCAAAATTTGTTTTTTCCGTATTTTTAGCATTTCCGATTCTGTCATTTCACATAATGCCAAAGTTTTGTCATGTCAAGAAAATGTCAGTTCGACTTCAGAAATTTCGAACTTTCAATGAAATTCGTATGGAATCTCTGTGAAATGGACAAAATTAAAGCCTCGTTGAAAGCAGAAAAGCCTGCATACAAATGTGTGATTAACAGATATGAAAATAATTCTGGAAAAAACTCATCATTTCATAGGACTCCAAGCAATAGTCAAGAGGAGGGATTGAATGAAAGATATTGGGGAATCAGACAAGAGTTTGAATAAGAACCTAGACGATTGAAAACTGTGAAGGGCACTGAAGGGTTCACCAAATCAAATCAAATCTGGAGAACAAAATCTGGTATATCGAGATTCTCATCAGCCAGGTATACATACTGTTGCCTCATTTTTTATTCCCACGTTATAATCATCCTGTTTGCGGACAATCAAATTGCAAACGACGAAACGAAAACTGAATTTATAAATAATAGTTTTCAACGGGCCTTTCCGTCATCGTGGAATTTCACACTTTTTCACTACAATATTATGAAGGTAAGTCAAAAACGTTATCCTGACCACATAATTATCGAGGGTATCGAACAACAAATGAATTATACAATATTGAAAATGATATTTCAATACCTGTGAATTCAAAAGCTACTTAGCTCTGAAGTCAGTGTACCATTGCAATTTGATTGGTTGGAGTTTATGATGGCTGGGAAGCACGCCGCTGTTGCCAAATCTCTATGAAATCCTTGATATGATCTTATGTGCAAGATGGTGCAAAGGATACCATAATTCCAAATTACTATGTAGCAGGTGATTAGTTGATTGTAATTCACTGCTGATCACATTCAATTCACTCTGTACTCCGAAATATTCCATAATTTTCAAGATAGGATACAATGTGATGCAGGTATCTATAACTATCTAATAGTAAAACGCTTCTTATATGGTTGGTTTTATTGGGTTATGATCTTCACTATTCTCATTCGTCAATGTTTTTGACAAGAAGGCAGTGATGCTCGTACTAAAATCAATAAAGCAAAGGACCAAGTAAGCAATTTAGTATTGATTGATTCAGAATTTGTTCCTTTTTCCCTATAGTAGGTAGGTAGGTTCGTATATATATATATATAAAGATATACTTAAACTTGAGTACTTTTCTGAAAGGAATTTGAAACTGAATAGCATGAATATCTGCACTGTGATTCGATACAAAATGAAATTTCACTCACAATTTTGAATAATACATCAACAGAAATCAACCATCTAACTAATTATGCAATGCAATTTTTCAGTGTCACGAATTTCCAGGTAGGTAGGTAGGTATTATTGAGTTATCCAACAGCTTTTGTATTATTTTATGAAATGAAAAAAATCGAGAAATAATAATAATAATAATAATAATATAAGTTTATTCAAAAACGTTTACAAAATATACATTGGAATAAACATAAAGGTAATTTGAATAAACTGGGAAAAACCTTACGAAGTTAACCTTGTAGTAAGGATAAAAAATAAATAAATGTACATAGGTCAATAAATATTTAACAATATCAAGTTATCACAATTGAAAATTGTCTCATTAAGAAATGAGACAAGTATTCAATTCATAATATATAGTGTACGGAGCATTTCATTCAATACGCATAATTATTTATATTCATACATACTTATTCACAATTATTATTAAAATTTATCTAATGATATTATTAAATGTTAATTAAAGAAAAAAAATAATTTTTAGGGGAGTTTAATATCCAGTTTTTTATTTTTATTTTATAGGATTGTAGTGATTTTGTTTTTAGAATATCATTTGGAATTTTATTATATAGGTAAGGAATTAAAAATTTAAAATTTCTACGTCCAAATGACTTGTTTGTTTTATATTTCAATGTTATGTTATTTTTATTTCTTATGTCATAGATATGTTTTTTAAACTGAATGTCCTTTTTATTTTTGAAAATATGAATCAGTAAATTGTAAATATAGAGTTGATTTATATCCATTTTCTTAGATTCCTTATATAAAAGTTCAGTTGGAAACAAATAATCTTTTCCATAAATAATTTTTAAAATCCATTTTTGTGCAATTATATATACCAAGGTATTTGATACAGTCAGTTTCCTGAATTTCAATTTCTCCATTTATCTTGATAGTGCCTAAATTTGGTTGAGAATTTTGATAGGAAGTAAATGTCATATATTTTGTTTTTTCAAAATTAGTTGTTAATAAATTCTGATCAAACCATTCTTTAATAATAGGAAAATCATTAATTACTTTGTTTTTCGATTCACACCAATCTTTCGCAGAGTAAAAGATAACAGTATCATCTGCGAAAGAATGTATAGTACCAGCTGAATTTAGTTGTAGTAAGTCATTCAAATAAATATTGAAAAAAAGTGGACCTAAAATACTTCCTTGAGGAACACCATACTCAAACAATTTCGGATCGCTGTGGATTTTGTTGATTTCAGCATGTTGAATTCTATCAGAAAGGTAGTTTTGTATTAATTTGTATCCAATCCCACGAAATCCAATATTTTCCATTTTTTTTTAATAGGAGCTCATGACTAACTGTATCAAATGCCTTAGCTAAATCAAGAAATATACAGAGAGTTGTTTGTTTTTCATCAATAGATTTATATAAATTATTAGTCAAGTAACAAATAGCATGTTGTGAAGAAATATTTTTTCTGAACCCAAATTGTTGATTTGACAGAAAGTTCAATTTACTCAAATAGCTGTCAATTCTATACTTCAGTATTTTTTCAAAGACTTTTGCCAAAGTGGATATGAGAGTGATTGGTCTATAATTTTTAATTTCATCTTTATTTCCATTCTTATAGATAGGTTTAATAACTCCAGTTTTGAATAATTTTGGACAAATTCCTGTTTGGAATATAATATTTATAAGGTACGCTAATGGTTTGCTTATTACATTTGATAAAGCTCTCAACATTTCGGATGTTATTCCATCTATACCAGGGCATTTCTTCAATTTCAAACTAAATATTGTATCCTCAACTTCCTTCTCATTTGTTTCCTCCAAGAAAAATGTATTTTTTGTTCTATGTTGATATGGATTTACTGATACTTTCGATTTAATTTTCTTTGCTAGTTCTTTTCCAACATTACTATAGTATGAAATAAATTCATTTGCAATACTTTTCTGATCAGATATCATTTCACCAGTATTCGATTTGACTATTTTTATTTCATTACTCCTGATGTTATCTCCACATATTTTTTTGATGCACTTCCAAAGATTTCCACTTGATTGTTTGTTCTTTTCAATTTCATTTTTGTAATACTGTATTTTTGCATTATTAATAATGTTTGTTAATTTATTCTTATATCTCAAATATTGTTCTTTTAATTCATCATCTTCCTTATCTATTTGTAACTTTTGATAGAGGAAATTTTTTTTATTAACAGAGTTTAATAATGCTCCTGTCATCCATTCTTTTCTTTTCTTATTTTTCATTTTAACAGATCTAGTGCTGATATCAACACAGAATTTCACTTTATTAGTGAGTTCATTAGCTAAATCATTAGAGCATTTAAGTTTATAATAATCATCCCAGTTAATTTCCATGAAATTCTCATATAATGTTTTATAATCAATGAAATATTTCCTATTGCAATTATTCATGTCTCTATTACAATTTTCACAGCTAATTTGAAGAATTATTGGATAATGATCTGTAATATTATATTTATAAATGATTGGATGAAAAATGTTGTGATTATCCTTAGATCTTATGAATATATGATCCAAACAAGACTTTTGATCTCCTACTACACGTGTAAATTTATTAATTAATGATCGGAAGCCATATTCACTCAGTATGTTACTGTATTCATTAGCATAATCCCTATTTGAGAGAATATCAATATTCAGGTCACCAATTATAATTGTATTTTCCTTATTCGACTTTCGAATATCATTCAAAAACATTTGAAATTGAAAATTGAAATCATATGGGCTAATAGATGGAGATTTGTAAATAGCAAATATATTGAGAATATTGGTTTTGCTTATATATATCTTGATATGAATTACCTTTATTAAACCTATTGAAATAATTTCATGATTATAACTATATTTATTTTTGACATATGCTATAACACCATCATTTTGATTTAAACTCCCGTTATTGTATATTAAATCGTAACCATCCAAATTAAATAAGTTTGTATTTGAAAGTTGAAAGGTTTCCGTGAAAATAATCACATCAAATTCTTCCAACTGTTTTATTAGTAATATTTCTTCATTAAAATTTTTATTTATGCTGCGAATATTATTATGAAAAATTGTGAATTTACTTTTATTTATTATTCTGTTTTGCTTATAATTAAAGAAATTTTCAATTAATTTTGTATCAACGATACTATCATCCAGCCGTTGAATATATGAATCCATAAAAAAGAAAAATTTGTAAAAGTTATGTGATGAAATAGTCAAATGAAGAATATATCAATGAGTTTCCGCCAATTTTGTTATATCGCTTTCATCATTTATAATAATAGGTTTTTCATTTTCATTTTTTCTGACGAAAATTTTACTATTTTTCCACCATATATACTTATAATTCGACCTCAACAATTCCTTAGTTTTTCCCAATAAGTATTTGTTCCTTTTCGTCAGTTCTTCATTAATATATATTATAGTTCTTCTAGCCTTAATTCCCAAATCTTCAGTTGATAGAGCACCATTCAATTTGAAATATTGTTTCGCCGCATTTGCAATCTTGAATTTTGTTGCCTCATTTTTCAAACTGATTTTTATTAGTTCTTGAGAATTCTCAGATATCTTCTTTATTCTTTTTATATTTACGACTTCTTTGGATTCTTTCTGGATGCCAATTTTGAAAAATACTTTCTGTATAATTTCTTCGTCATCAATATCTTGTTGTTCTGGTATACCTTTGATTTCGATGTTATTCTTAAGTTCAATTTGTTCTTTTATGTCAATCTTTTGTTTCAATGATGAAATTTCATGTTTTATATCAGTGATTTCCTTCTTCAGTATTTTATTCTCTTCTGCTAACAAATTTCTCTCTTTTTTAATTTCTTTCAAAAGTGTAATTATTTCTTTATTTTCTTTTTTCACATCATCATAGTTTGCTGCCATGAATTCAATGGTCCGTTGCAATTCCAACACAATCCCTGTTAAATATTCCAAATTTTTGCCTGAATTATCATTTTTAGAATTTTGAACTGGTTCACAACATTCATGGCATTTCCATCTTCGCCCATTTGGTTTTTTCAGTTCTTTTGAAAATTCGTCGAAGTCCTTCGTTTCTAAACGACTACACTTCAGATGATACCATTTGTTACATGCCCCTTTACATTCTATAGCACTCTGATTAGATTTAACATTTAAATTGCAGCTTCCACAAGGATACTGATTAGATGATCCAGCACTAATCTTGTCTTGGTTAGTTACAATGAATGAATTTATTTTATTTTTGGTTTTACCACTACACGGGTATTTTAATGGGAGGTATCCATCTTCATCCTCTGATGAATCCTGATCGTCTAATGGTTTTGAAATAGCTATAGATTTTTTTCTTCCCATATTGAATTAGTAATAATGTTTGACAATTTATGTCAGTTGATACCTTCTGCTAAGTTTTTTTCTTGATTTATCCTGTTTCTTATGATTATTCTTCTTGGCGTAGTTCACGTTCACTTTAAATTTCCTTATATCAATATTTTGAAAATATTTTCGATTTTTTTCCCCTGGATATCGAAATATTTCGAGGTACTGACAATTGCTCAGATGTTTGCATATACAGGGTGACAAAATATAATAAATCCATTGTGCATTTTATTAGCACCCGCGACACGTAAGGGCATTGTCAATCCACGTCACACGGTTCGCGGCCATGTCTGATCGTTTGAATTCGCTCATTCATTTGGGCGTTTTCAATGATTTCAATATGATGAATTTTTTTTTAAATACTTTATTTAAATACAATGCGTTCCTGATAACAACACATATATACAGTTTAGAATTTATAGATACGTAGGTTGCATTACAATGAATACTGAATAATCCAAAGCAGCAAATGTGCTGGTCTCGGAAACTGTATCTAACTTACATAATACATTTACATGTTTACATATATAAATACAAAATAGAAATAAATAAAATTCTCCATTCTCTCAAATTTTTTTTTAATAGATATTTATGTGATTATATATAATTAGGTAGTTAAATGCAGTTGGGTCATATTGCATGGGGTATGGCTTAGATTTTATAAATGTTTGTTTTCAAGTTTTTTTCTGTGTATATATTTTTAATTTTCCTTTTAAATAAGTTTATGTCGGCACAGTTTGCTATGTCCTTTGGTAAGGAGTTATAAGTTTTCATGCTCTGTATTATGGGATTTTTGAGGCCTATGTTTGTTCTCACAGGCTCTAAGTAGATATTTGTTTGCGTACGTGTATTATAGTTGTGTTGCTGATTCACGAAATTGAAAGGTGTGTTACTTCAAGATTTTCTTTGATGATTGTAGTGTTTCAATTTTTTTGAACATTGTTTTTCCGCATGTTCCCCATAATGGGATTGAGTATCTGAATATGGACAGAAAATATGCATGATGCAAGCATGATGTTCGTATATAACCTCTACATCGATAAATGGCACCAACCATGGGTGATATTTTGTATTCTAGGTGTTTGATGTGTTCACTCCAGTTCAACTTTTCATCTAGTACGAGTCCGTACAACAAGGTATATTCCCAGATATTCTCGAAGTCAGCAAGGTAACACCTATACACAAATCTGGCCCAAATAACATCATAGATAACTATAGACCTATTTCAGTAGTTCCAGCCCTATCAAAAGTCATTGAAATTATCTTAAAAAAACAAAAAAAATGAAGAAATGGGAATAAGAGGAAATGCTCTCTCATTAATAAAAACATATCTTCAACATCGCGAACAATTCACAATAGTTGATGGCTGTTCAAGCCAAACTGGAAATACCAAAGCTGGTGTGCCCCAAGGCTCAGTCCTTGGGCCCCTACTCTATACATTACATGTTCTGTCTTTGGAATCGGCCAACATTACAGCTAGATACTTCAAATTCGCATATGACACTGTTATTGTATATAAGGGTAAATACTTGAAAAAACTTGAAACAATAGTCAATACCGACCTTGAAAGATATCACAGATGGCTTGCAAAAAACAAACTTCAGATCAATGTAAAAAGACTACTTTTATCATTTTCTCTCAGAAAAACATGAAACTTCAAGACATAATAGTGAAGATAGGGGGCAGAGAAATAACAAGAGTCCATATTACTAACACAGTACACACCCTAGCGGAAAACAGTAATTTCACTTAGTGTCGGAACGTTTGATGTTGGTGTCCACAAGTTTTATTTTTCGCCCGACCAGTGCGCATACCACCACGCACAGACTTGCGTGTTATGGGCTTGGTCTAGCCAATGGCAAGCCAATGACGACTAGCTCGTCATCACTGAGGAATGCTGTGAAGTCACTGAATTTTATATGAACAGGTCCAGCTTCAAACAAATAAATATCCAGATAGGCGTAGATTCGCTCTCATAGAAACATTGAAATTATGATCATGAAAAAAACTGATTTTGGTTTTCTTTCTGGAAAATATTCTTCATGTTATTTTTTATTTCACATTACAAACAGTTCAACCACAGTATTTGTGGTTCAACTGACAATAAGCATTATATTATGTCTGACAGTGATAAAAGAATTGTTTGAATATATGCAATGTTTTTATTTACTCTTCGTTTGGGTAACGGAATGGAAATATAACCAACCTCAATATTCTTGAATTATTTTTTATTTCACACTGAAGTTCAATATGAGTTCAACTGACAATATTTGATGTTTATGAGCGAAAAATACAGAATTGTAGGTAAAAGACCATATGCTAGGTATGAATACCATAAATAAGTTTGGTTTTTTATACCTCATAAATAAAAAACCTATTAATTATATGTTTTGATACCTTATTTGACATTGGTACATAATAAGATTACATATCACCAGATCAAGAATTTTACATGTCGATATTAAAAGTATTAGAAAAATTTTCATGTGTATAATTAATAATAATTATGGTAAATTTGAAATCAAATGAGAATTTGTATATTGAACTTGAATCATGAAGAAATAATGATCATATGATAACTAAAACTGAAATGATGAAGATTATAAATGTTGCACAACTTTCAATTTTGAATTTTGTTTATTAGTTTTTGGTTGTGATAACTCTCTGTTCATAAACTTCAGAGTATAAAAAATCCTTGTTCGAATGAACAAACTGTTGAGATAATCAAGTGGAAAATTTTCACAAGGATGTATCAGCAGAACTGTACTTGCTATTGCTTCCTTCAATCTGATACCAACATTAGGCTGAATTGAAAATTTAGGGAAATTCGAAGAAAAAATATTTTCACATACTCCTAGGTATGAAAAGAAATACTGTTGAGGCATATTTAAATTTCCATATGTATCTTTTGTTATAATTATTGAAAATAAACTAATAAGTCTTGATGTTTTCTTTATTTGTTAGCTTTACTATATTCTACGATGTCTCTAGATTTTTATATCAGACATTACAGTCATTACACATTCATTATAATTATTGTTAATAATTGACAGTTACATATTTCTGACAGACTTGACATACTTCAACTTCATATGATGACAGACATGACATAGATGCATAGACCATAAACCAACAGAATAGGCAATTCATGGATTATCAATTATAACACCACCCCTTAATCCATGAATTTCATGAACTCATTTCATTCCTAAATTCTCGACACAGAATTTATGTTGAGGACCATGTAATCCTTTTGTAAATACATCAGCAATCATTTGATCAGTAGGAACATAACTTATTATAATGATTCCTCTCTCAACAATTTCCCTTATATAATGATACCTAGTATCTATATGTTTGGTTCTACTATGATAAATTGGATTCCTAATAAGCATATACGTATTAATAATCAATACGGATAATCTCTATCTGTTTCCATAGCGAAACATGAAGCCGATTTTTGAAGACAAATGACTATCCATAAGGAAAAGTTTTGAAACGATCAGACACATACTGCTTTGATTGAAAGGCTAGTAAACGTCATTGTCCACGAAACGCATGTCTTTGATGACTACTATAATAGCGCATGGCGCATGCGTATCATGCCACCAAATCCTTATGGATATTCATTTGTTTCATATTTTTGGCTTCATCCTGGCACCCGTTATGATCCGTATTGTTTATTAATACGTATATGCTAATAAGTTTCTGAGCGCTTTGACTGTCATTATAGAGCATCATAGGTTCACTTATATCAACAAGCTCCTTGAGGAAACTGGTGATGAAAACAGCTTCCCTGGTATCTTCTGTAATAGCAATATATTCAGCCTCGGTGCTCGATAATGCCACACAAGACTGTTTTTTAGATTCCCAAGAAATTGCTACATCACACATCTCAAAAACATATCCTGAATATGATCTCCTGTCATTTATATCATTGGAAAAATCAGCATCTACATAACCGATGATATTTTTTCCAGATTTAGTGAATATTAGACTCTTATCAATAGTACTCTTCAAAAATTTCAAAATCCTTTTTAAATGTTGCCAATGCTCATGACCGAAACAAGTATTGAATTGGCTCAAATTACTTACAGCATATGATATGTCAGGTCTAGTATGAACTACGAGGTACATCAATGAACCAATCAAATTTTGATATGGTAAATTTGGAATTTCAAAATTATTTGGTTTCAATTTCAACCTGGTTCGATGGGAGTCAAAACATTTTTCGCTTCTGCTAACCTAAACTTTTCTAGAAGTTCTAATATGTAATCTTTCTGATTCATTTTTAATACATGTTTTTGTTCATCATAATCAATATTCAAACCCAAAAAATATTTAACAGTTCCCAAGTTCTTAAGCTTTAAATGTTTTGACAACTCATCTTTAATATTTGTCATCAGATCTACAGAATTAGAACAGACTAAAAAATCGTCCACATATACTGCAACAATGATAATAGCATTTTCTATATTTAAAAAAAATACATGGCTCATGGCTAGACTGTTTCAAATTTTGTTTCATCAATATATCTTTAACTTTATTATTTTAAATTCTTGAGGACTGTTTTAAGCCATATATTGCCTTTTTCAATAAACATACTTTGGTTTCTTCATTTTGAACAATGAAACCTTCAGGTTGATTCATGTATATTTGTTGATCAATTTCCTCATTGAGAAATGCTGTTTCAACATCTAAGTGTTCAATGGATAAATTGAATTCAATGCTCAAGGCAAATATTATTCTTATAGTGGAAT